TCTGTCTCATTACATACATACATACGTAAGTACCTGCCATCTTTGCTACAATAATCAGTTTCTTCTCTTCATAGACACTCCAGTCTGCTTTGTAGAAACTGTTTCATTCCACTTGGAAAATCTGACCACCCAAAAGGCTCAGTAATTGGCCCCCTTCTTTTTAGGAAAGAAATACTTCTATTCCCCAAAAGTCTGTACCTCTCTAGGATACTACTTATTTATTTATTTATTTTTTAAGAGACAGAGTCTTGCTCTGTTGCCCAGGCTGGAGTGCAGTGGCATGATCACAGCTCACTGTAGGGTACCACTTCTTATGATACTACTACTAGTCTGGAGGACCAGTTAACTGGACAAATTCACTAAGCAAGGGAGACTCCATACTCTAACAAATCCTTCTCACTGCATGGACAGAATTACTATAACAATCTGCAATTAGACTAAAAGAAAAATCCACCCATCTCTCTAGAATAGACCCCACTGGACTGCAGAAATATTTTTCTATGACCTGGGTTTGGTCTTCTAGGCCTCTGGCTTCAATGTCTGTTGCAAAGATTGATAAACATTTCTTTTCTGGTAACTGCTTGCATTGCAGCTGGCTGGTGCAGCCATTGCTACATCAGATGAATCCGTATCTCATCCTTTAATAAAAGAAGCAGACATTGGCTGACAACCTTCTGGCCAGCATGACCTTAACACGATAGTGTACATCTGGAGACCACAGCCTGGCACAGTCTCCCCTGGTCAACAGGGGACATTGACAATGAAATGAGCATCTTGGACAGGTGTCAGATTTTACCAGGCCTGACATTTATAGGTAAGCCTTGGTGCTTCCTTCTTAACATTAACAATTTCACAGGACACCAACGTCAGATTACACCACTCTGACTGTAATTGGATGAGACAAAAATAAGACCACATGGTAATCATATCTCAGTACAGACAGAAACAAAAACACAGTGCAAGCTACAAAAAAAAAAAAAAAAAAAAAAAATTCCACCCCCTTAACTAGCATAAGTGATGGCTGCTTCTTTCTTGATTACAACTTCAGCCCCAATCTGTCCTTTCTATGTCCTAGACAAAAATTAAGACAATCGTAGAATTACTCCTTGTTATAGACTTAATGTTTGTGTCCCCCTCCGACCAAATTCGTATGTCGAACTCCTAAGCTCCAAGGTGATGGTATTAGGAGGCGGGGCCTTTTGGTGATTAGGTCATGAAGGTGGAGCCCCATGAATGGGATTAGTGCCCTTATAAAAGAGGCTCCAGAGAGCTCATTAGACCCTTCTGCCATGTGAGGACATGGGGAGAAGATGGCCATCTATGAACCAGGAAGTGGGCTGCCACCAAATCAGCTGGTGCCTTGGTCTTGGGCTTCTCGGCCTCCAGAACTATAAGAAATAAATTTCTGTTCTTTATAGGTCACCCAGTCTATAGTATTGTTATAGCAGCCTGCATGGACTAGACACCCCTGCTTCCCAAAAGCATGCAGTCCAGAGCAAAGCCCTGCTGCCTCCCCAAATCAGCTAACGTGAGACCACACCCTCTAACAAGCTCCTCTTAGTACCCTGAGACACCTCAGGGTTCTCTGCGACATACAGTCTCCCTTGCTCCACCAAGTAACTGATGCATTTTGTAATAGACGTATTCCTGATGATCTTTGGCTGGTGGCCATCAGTGTTAGAGTGGATAAGAGTTCCTGTCATAGACGCAGGAGAGGTCTGAAGTGTGGCCAGGCCAGAGGCTCAAAGAATATCTTGTTGAAAATCTATCAGCAAACTTCTAGAATGTCATACCATACCCAGCTAGTTTTTACTAAGCTTTCGCAATATGCCAGCTACCATACTTAAAGTATTACCTTCTTTAATCCTGCCAACAATCCTATAAGTGAATGATCATTATCGTTTCAGTTTTTAAGAGAAAGAAGCTGGGGCTTAGATTACCTAAGTAACTTGCCCTAGGCTGGTCAACAGAAAGTGGTGGTGCTGGCTTCGCATCTAAGCTCTTTGTCCCTGTCTGGCTTCTAAGGTTCTGGCAGACTCCAGTGTCTCCAGGGTGCCATGCAAAATACAGCTCATTAAATACTGGAAAAGGGGGGCATCGAAGCCATATGACATCACAATATTCAAATTGTCCTAGGACAGGCTTTCTAAGGAACCTTCCCAGACAAGGTGGTAGGTATGCTAGTTTCTATGAAGCCTTGTGCCATGGGCAGCTGATCTAATTCAGGGACTGCTGGGAATAGTAGAGGTCTCAAATTTGTTGATACTTTGGTGATCATAATAGAAGAAAGCTCGTGATTTTGGTTTGTAGAAATCAGCTAGAGAGCCTGATAAGTCCTGCTGCAATTTATCTTTAATGTGCTGGCCAATCTTTAACCCTTCAAGGCAGCAGTCCCCAACCTTTTTGGCACCAGGGATCGGTTTCATGGAAGACAATTTTTCCGTGGACTGGGGGACATGGAAGGGATGGCTTTGGGATGACTCAGTGCATTACATTTATTGTGCACATTATTTCTATTATTATTACATTGTCATACATAATGAAATAATTATACAACTCACCGTGATGTGGAATCAGTGGGATACCTAAGCTTGTTTTCCTGCAACTAGATGGTCCCATCTGGGGGTGATGGGGGACAGTGACTGATCTGGCAGGAGGCAGAGCTCAGGTGGTGATGCGAGCGATGGGGAGCAGCTGTAAATACAGACGAAGCTTCATTTGCTCACCCGATGCTCACCTCCTGCTGTGAAGCTGGGTTCCTAACAGGCCACAGACAAGTAATGGTCTACAGCCTGGGGGTTTGGGGACCACAACTTTAAAGCACTAATAGTAACACAACTGGGGCAATGACATGTTGCTTAAGATGAATTGCACAGCTACACATGTGCAGGAAGCTTCCCCACAGGCATGCCTGAAAATGTTTCTGCATATACCAAATACTTATCTGGGATCCAGACCTAAGGGTGGCAGTCAGGAGATGGCTGGATTTTGGCTGTCCATTCTATAAAAAGCAGGAATCGAGGGCAATATTTTTCAATCTTGATTGCTGTTTTCAACCATTAAAATCACCTAGGGAGTTTTTGCTTTTGCTTTTTAAAAATAAAAACCAATGTGTATGTCCCACACCCTGAGATTATGGTTTATTTGAAATGGGGAAGGGCCTAGGCATCAGTATTTTTTTTAAAAGCTCCTTGTGAAAGCCCACTGTGCAACCAGGTTTGAGAAGCACTGGTGTTTCGGGAACGCACGGTTAATGAGCAATTTGTGGCTTCCATCATCACATCTCCTTCTCTAACTCTGACTCCCCTAATGCCCTATTCTAAGGACCCTTATGATTACATTGAGCCCACCCAGATAACCCCAGATAATCTCTCCGTCTCAAGATGTTCAACCTAATTACATCTGCAAAGTTTCTGTTGCCATATAAAGTAACATATTCACAGGTTCCAGGGATAAGGACCTGAACATCATTTCAGGGCAGTTATTCTGACTACCACAGTGGGTTTTACCAGAAAAAAAAAAAAAGACAGTATTATGAGATTTAGAAGACTTCTTATGCTTGGCACCTGCAAGGTCTGCTGTCTTAGTCTGTTTAGTGTTGCTGTAAGAAAATACCTGAGACTGGGTCATTTTTAAACAGTAGAAGTTTATTTGGCTCATGGTTCCTGAGGCTGGGAAGTCCAAGAGCATGGCACTGGCATCTGGTGAGGGCCCGCATGCTGCGTCATCGCATGCGGAATGCAGAAGGGCAAGAAAGCATGAAAGTAAGAGAGTGAGAGGGGACTGAACTTGCTTTTATAACAAGCCCACTCTCATGACAGTGACATTAATCACCTCTTATTGGGCCCCACCTCTCAACACTGTTGCATGCGGGATTAAGTTCACAACATATGAACCTTGAGGGACACCTTAGAACCAGACTATCTGCCAAATCTGGAAGATCATGATAAAAATCACAGCCAGAGAGGTACAAAAAAATGAGAGAAGTGGCAAGATGATACCAGGCAGTCTTGGGAAAGGCATAAAAGAGGTTTTGCCAAGCCACTTATCCTTTCTATGATGTGTGTGTTAGAAAATAAAAATTGTTGAAGAGGCACAAGTTTGAATTGGGGAAATGAATGGAGTTTCACAGTGAAGACAGCGGTTCTGAGAAATGGGAGATAGACTTGAATGAATGGATGGGTACGGACCCCTATCCAAAAATCTATTTAAAGGTCAGAATTTAGAAATGATGACAAATCAACTTATTAGCGAAAAAGTAGTTAAAATAAAAAAGATATCTTTTATCTAGTTAGTCTCAAAACAGTCAAGACTCACTAATTTTTGAAGAGGGGACTTCTTAAGCGTAAAGGTTAATATTGCCTTCCTTGCTTGAGCACGTAGGCTGTGTCTGCAGTGATTTCAGGCAGCATTGGGATTTAGGTTGCCTTAGGTGGGGGAACCCACAGGCCCACCCTAGCACAAGGCTTCAAGTGCAAGGAGGTTATAGGTTATTCAAGAGGGAAAGATCTCCATGCAGTGGATGGAAGAAGTGGCAAGGCCGGGAGGCACCCAATAGGGTATGTTATCTAGTCAGGTACTACCACAGGTGACTGGCACTTAAGTCCTACTGGGAAAGCTCTGGGAGCCAGTGTCCAACAAACACCTCAGACTTACTCCTCCCGAGCTGCGAGGTTGCTGGGGGATTTATACACCTACTCCCTATCAGTCACTGGGGGAGGAATGCTCTCACGGGGGCATTATTCCTTGGCATTTCTAGTCTGCCCAGCAAGAGGCAAGAGAAAGCCCTTGAGCCACAGAACACAGATCTGGCATTTCAAAGCAATCTAGTAAAGAGATAAAGACAGGAAGCAAGATGTGCGTGGCGCACTCATAGTATCTGCTACATGAAAATACATCAGTAGCCTAACCATTGGCTACTAATGGTTTCAAAGGGAGCTATTGTTGCCCCATGCTTAATGGTTATTCTACCACAATGAAAACGGTCAGAAAGAGCAGGACCGAGAAGGGTACAACTTTAATGTATCTGCAGCCATATCTTAGAACAGAACAAGATGATTAATAGATAACTAAGTTTCATGGCTTTCATGCTACAAAACATTAAATTTAAGACTGGATTTTTTGAATTATTTTGTAAAATGACATTTACATGATATAGAATAAAACAGTGAATTCTTAAAATATAATCAACAAGTGATACCAAGAAGCAAGCCTAGTAAGCATAAATTTTCACTTTGTGGACTTCCTTGTCATCACATTCCCTCTGTTTGTTGTAGTAATAGAAAGTATTGTCCCTTCTCTGAAGTTTCTTCACATATCCTGTGTCTGGCCAACGATCTACCTGCACATCAAAAACCAGATACAAATATTATAATGCCGGTTCTACTTTGATCTCATATTTTACCATTAACTACTTAAAAGTACAGTTCACACCACAGTTAAAGATGCCTGAGCTCTTAGAGTATGACACACACAGAACGTATCTTAAGTTGCGTCCTTATACTGCAGATAAACTAATTCAGCGCTTTTCCCTAGAGCTCAATTTCTAGATCTAAATTTCTAGACTGTGGACAAGATAGAGAAAACAGTAAAAATAATTTCAACTTCATTCTTTTCATATTTACAAATAATTTCAAACCTTATAACTTCTAAAAAATAGTACTAGGCCTGGGCCTCATTCTGAAGGCACTGCCTGCTGGTTGTTGATACTACAGTAACTGCAGGAAACAACCAGACTCAAGAGATATCTCAAGGTGTCTACGCATTTCCTTCTGCCTAAATTTCAAGTTCACCTTGAAGTCCGATTTGTAACAGGAATTTGAGGTCACGAATATAGTCCTTGACAATCTTGTCCTACTTCTCCCACCTTCCTTTTTATGTGCATGTTGGCTTGTTTATCATTAGGCTTGACCTACTTGGACACTTGCCTCCCTCCTTCCTCTCCAAATTCAATGTCATGCCTTCTTGGTCAAGTGAACACATTTTTGTTATTGTTAAATGTGTTCCTTCTGGATTTTGTGAGATGCACTTTATCATTATCCAGGTTTTAGAAAATCAAATCCTGTCTTTCAATACCTTCTATATAGGCAGTCCTGCACCTTTTATATTCCTCACTTACAAATCTCAGCTTTTGATAGGGAGAAAAGGTGAATATATCGTCTGTGTCTCCATGTATTTTATTTTCTAATGCATTTCCCTTTTTCTGTTGTCTCATTTATTTATGGGTTAGTAAAAACAGGTAGCATTCTATCTGATAAACCTTGGCAGGCCCTTTGCCATATACAATATAGAAAATCAGCAGCCCCTTCTGTCACTGATGTCCTGCCTGCCTGTGTGGCTCCCATGACCCTCAGCAGGGGAAGGAGGTGTTCTCAAGGCTCCATTATAGCCCTGTTCCGTTTGGAACCATAAGCAGATTCTTTTTCAATTAATAGTGTCCTGAGAACCATCTTAGTGAAGAAACAGTACAACCGCTGCCTCCTCAGGACATCTGGAGCTACGTTATATGAGATGATCCTCAAATCAGCTAGACAGGTCCTGTGCTCAGTGACTTACGGATATTTGTCCTTTTTATACCCCTTGCCATCTCTGAATGCTTTCTTCTTCTTCGCTTTTAATTTGATCATTCCCATTTGATCTAGGAAACCTTCATGCCTAACGTGGAACAGAATGATACAATCCTGAAGTCCAACTACCTTCTCCTTAGGCAGGGCAGTCGGCAAGTACTAATAGTACCACAAAGATGTGTGCTTCAGTAAAGAAAAAGAACTTTACTCAAACCCTCAGGCCACTGCACACTGGTGGAGACATCCCAACCAAAGCAGGACTTCGGTTACCATCTTATCCATCATAGAAGGCCCACTGTAAATGCCACTGGGGGCATGAAGCCTTTTCTGGGGATTATCTCCAAAAGGAAGTGACTTTGTCTTCCTTTAAGTTCCTGTGCTTCTTTTACTTAAGGCACATATACTTTGTCTTGCATATGGTTTTATTGTTCTTCTTGTTACTTTTCTTCAACTTCATGATAATGAGGTTACTAAAACTATCATTCATTAAACACTTACGGCTCATTCACTCAACAAATTAGTATCAAGAGCTCCAATGTCAGGCACTTCAAACACATGAGTTCATTTAATTCCTGTGACAGTTTTCTAAAGCAGGCACTGCCACCACTATTTTCAAATTGAAGAAATGGAGGCTCACTGAAGAGCCTTGTTCAGCATTCCCCAGCTGATGAGAGATAGAGCCAGGATGCAAACCCTGAACGGACTGACTCCAAGGCCTGTCCTCTTCCCACTGGCTTACGGGGTTTCTTGAGGTCAGGTCCTCTCTCACCCATACTTTTGTCTCCTAAAGCACTTGCTATAGAAATTTGCACATGGTAGGTATCCAATAAACATATACAGAGTTGAAATGAAAACTTCTTTATAATTGCCAAATCATAAAGTGAATAGAGCTGTTCTTCCTTCCATTACACACACACACACACACACACACACACCCTTCTCAGTTGCTTTTTGGGACTTCCCATTTAAGGATGTACTTTGTGTTCTCTTAAATCTGATTTTGCCTCAATAACATCATTGGGCATGGGGCTGTAGGTGCAGGAGAGGAAAGAGCACACAGTGTGTTGTGTCTCACACTGCCTATGACCATTCTGGGCCTTGTATATCTTTAGGGGCATCCCAATCTCAAGGCAAGGTATAAAGCTTATTTTTCAGCAGCATTAAAGTGCTAATGATTATATATTCTCTATTTAAAAAGCACAGATGGTAGAGTCATGAAACTATGTCTCTATTCTCTCAGGAAAGCCTGAAATGTACAACCAAAGTCAGGAGTTGTTCTCTAAGACTTTTTTTGTCACATATAATCTCCATAAAAACATATTATTTAACCCCTTTCTAATTCATGGTTAAAACAGGTTAACCATGAATTTATTTTTTGTACATGTAAATTGTATATATATATATATATATATATATATATAACTTCCCATAATGGAGGGAAATTATAGTTACACAAAAACTAAATATCTGATAATAGAATTATCAGATGAATGAGGGTAAAAGATTCTGCTTTGTGATCTCCCATAGAAGATTCATTTAGCAGAGCACAGTGGCTCAATAAAAGTTAGAAAATTCCGAATGTCCCCAGCTGAGGGACCACCTCTCCCCACAAGTCTGCCTAGAAAATCACTATTCTGGGCCTTGGTCTCCTTATCAATAACATGAGGGAGTTTGTACAGGAATAAATCTTACCATAGATACTTGTTTCACTTGTTTATATTCAATTTCATCCCGATATCCTGCTTGTTGAAATCTGAACAGATTTTCTATCTCTTCTGACCATTTTTTGGCACGACTTATTGATTTTGGTTTCACATCAGAACTAGCCATGGCTACAGAGGCCTTATTACCAACAATTTCTGAAAGATGTTAAAACAACATTAATGGATATCATAATGACAATTTTCAAAGTCCCTTTATGAATGAACAAAACTAACACTTAAAAGTTATATATAGAGTTGAGAATCCCATTAAATATGTTAAGTTTATAACATTCAATTCCTAGATTGAGAAGGATTCATGCTTTATTCTGGGGGGAAAACTCTAAAAAACAAAACAAAACAAAAAAAACCCCTGAAAGATACAGGGAGAACTGTTTATATCTTTATCAAATAAAATTGCATTCGGAGTGATGTTCTAAATGCGGTATACAAATTCTGGTGTAATAGTACAAATTCTGGAGGCAATAGTTTGCACATTTCTGAAAACATACTCTTATTTGTAACTGCTTAGTAGAGTGTTAAAATATCCCACCACAATTTCATTCAATTATATTCAAAATTGCCTCTCTTTTTGTTTTTTCCTTAAAAAAGGAATTTAGGATCAGTCTTCTGATCTTCTTCCCTTCTTTGTTGCTGTGAAGCAATGGTTTCTCCTTTTTCCATTTCTTAATTGCTTGGAAACATCCCAATCACTGCAATTCATTTACTCAGGTCACTGTGACGCACACTCCCAATGTGAGAAGACAGACTGACACGAAGTCCATGCAAGCTGTAATGGCTGTCATGATGCTGAGAACATTGATTTTGAAACAGCGTAGAAGGGTCACGAATGGTCTTGGAAATTCAAATATTCAACTTGAGTTCATGTAACTGTCTATTCACCAAAGTTCTATGGCCACTTTTTCAAAGTCATAATTTTGTGCTTGTTTTTGCAACCACTTCTTATTACCAAAATATATCCAGTCACTTAATGGAATAAAGTGCCTAGAATTTTCACCATCATTCCTTGATCTGCTCTTTCATTAAAATATTTCTAATGGCTGAAATATGTTAAAGTCAGATCCTGTAAATGAATTAAGAGTGTTTGAATTTTTTCAATCACAATGACAAATGCTCACATGTTAAAAAAGGTCAAGAAATACATCGAAGTACAGAAAGGAAAAGCCAAAATAATCATCACATCAGTTAGAAATATCCGTCCTTCACCTTGAGTGAACATCATCCTAAACACATGATGAATTAAGATAGACATTAGAAGTTTTATAAAAAGGAGTCGTATAGCAAATACCTTTACAAGAGTAATAAATTTAGCTTTACCTGGATTTAACAGGAATAAAAATAGGGAATAGAAGAAAATTGACATACTTGCTGAATTTCAGATGAATGTTTCTTCAATATGAAAGATGTAGCCTAAAAGTTACCTCAGTGGTTAACAGAAAAAGATAATGAAGACTGTTGGGGAAGCCAAGGCTCTTTGTTTTAACTCCACGTTATCAATCTGACACACAAGTAGTGACTGACTCTTTTCTATGAAAAATAAGAAAAGTGGTCTAATGTTCCTCCTACTTCCTCTAGATTTTTAAAAAATTATTTAACATTCTAAAGATTATAGTATTTACATTCTATTCTGAAACCATAATTCCCCCAGTTGTTTGGACTTAGTTCCAGATTTAAATGAATTTAAATGAAGTCGTCTCAGTCACATACTTCTTACCCTGATCAGAGGAGCAGCTACATAAGTAGATATATCTAAATAGATATATCATTAGCATGGCTTGTGCATTTTTTCCAACATGAATACCAACACGTAAATCGATCAGATCACGAAAATTAGGGTTTTGCTAGTATGTGACGTTTTAAAAACTTTTGATCCTTAGCTATTGATTTAGGTTCAGGCTCATGTTGTATTTTAAGATAATTCATTGTTATGGTATTGTATAAGTTTATGTGAAATTTGCAATACTTGACCAAAAATGCTTTAGTGAACCCCTTGTCTTTTAATTCCATTCATTGTAATGCACAATATACTTGTGATATACTAGCTATGACCAACAAGTGAGTTGAGTATATATGGTACAGCCTGATAACCCATTCGTATATATATAATTACATATAAACTATACATATATAACACAAAAAAATTATGCTAGGAAACATGAAAGGAAAAAAGAGTGAATTCACTGTATTAAAAATTCTTTAAAAACTAGTCATGTTTTTATATGGATTTAGTGGCAGTATTATTTACATTGCTTTTATAGATGAAACAGTTTCTAAAACTAGTGGTATGATCTAATTTTTATTTTATCCAAGCCATTTTTGCTTTAAGGTTGGTTTTTAGATACATAATAAAACACTTTTGTTTGCTCATATTCATTTAAAAAGTATTTTCCTGAATGTCAAATATGTAACCTTTTGTCACTTTCAGGTCAAACAATTATGTCAACTGTACATATAAAAATGCCACATTTAATAGAAGAGCAGAACATATGCTGTATTCAATTGGACTTCTGGGGAAATCACTATTTTTCTCAGAAGAAATAGACATCTTCTAGTTATTACCAGGCATTTCAAAATTTTGTTTTCCCAAAATATTTAAAGGTAACATGAATGTCATTTTCACCATAACAGCAACCCTAGTGTCTACTATAGCTAGTTGTGGCGCAAATTCCATTTTTTGGTCTTCCTTACTTGATGTTTATTAAAAACACAAAATGAAAGTAAAATTAGGGAAGATCAACTTACAATTCCTTGATTAAATATTTCAGTGATTCTGGGAAATTCGGTGGCAGTACTAATTCTGCTAGTAACCTTTAGCACTTTCACTCTGAGGGGTTTCTTTAAACATTGTGGCAAAAAAAAGAATTAATTAAAAAAATAAATTTGATCTCTGTAATACCGGAGTTGTATCTCCACAAACAGGAAATGGCAATGCCTGAGTTTCCAGTTTGCAAAAACTGAATTTTATTAAACACAATTAGAGTTTGGATGGGAACATGTGGTCCCTGACTTACAATGGCTCCACTTAAGATTTTTCAACTTAACCAAGGTGTGAAAGTGATAAGCATTCGGTAGATACTGCACTTTGAGTACCCATATAGCCTTTTGTTTACCACTTTCAATGGTATTCACTATTACATGAGATATTCAACAGTTCATTATAAAATAGGCTTTGTGTTAGATAATGTGCCCAACAGTAGGTTAATGTAAGCGTTATGGAGCATGTTCAAGGTAGGTCGGGCTATGCTATGACGTTCAGTAGGTTGGGTGTGTTAAATGCTTTTTCAACTTACCACGGGTTTATTGGGACAGAACCCCATCCTAAGTACAGGCTCGTCTTTATTTTAACCCCACCAATCTTAAATCCCGGCAAATCTAAAGATGTAACGTAACTAAAAGCCTTTGATGTAGTAAGCCACCCCAAACTCCCTTCTATGCAAAACGTTTCCACCTCAGTTGGCTCTTTACTTTTAGTGCCATTAAAACCCCCACAGCATTCGTCTCCGTCATCTTCCATGTCTTTCCCCATTGTATTATTAATATTTCTGTTCCTAAGAGGCAGTAGGATATGGTGGAAGAGCCCTGTGACTAGCACATAACCTGGGCCAACACCATGAGCATTCCTGGGCCTGCTACCTGAACTCTAAAAGGCGAAGCATTAGACGGTCTCTAAAGTCCCTTAACTCCCCATCCCAAAGTTGTTGGGTGTTCAGTTGAAACAAAAAGCGGTTGCCCAAACATGCCTTGGTGGTCCAGGTGTGCTAATCTGCATTTGTGCAGCACAAAAACACTCCTTTGCAGTCGCCGATTGCTAACATGCCTCAAATTTTCTTTCCGCGAGAAATCACCAAACGTGCTTTTGATGTAAACATCTGCCTAGAGAAGGCTGGCATGGAACAAGTACAGTATTCTAAGAACTAGGGATCAAATGAGTGAGCCCTCAGAGTCGCGGCCCCTAAAGCTCACAGTGGCGCGAGGCGGCCCGGGAACTTCCGGGAGAATCAGAATCCGAAACTCAAGAGTGGCCCCAGAAACACCCGCCGTCCTGTAAACGAGCAAGGAAACGTGAACACTCAGGGGTAGGCAGCGCGGATCTCGGGAGGCACGCAAGAACGGCGGGGCGGAAGGGGCGGGGCCCAGGCGGGTGTAGGGGAGGGGCGAGCAGATCTTGGCCCTCAGGGGCGCATCCACCCACCGCTGGGTGCGGCTGTCCGTGGTTATCCTCGCTCGGCTGAGCCGGAGAGGTCGGGGGCTCCCCGCCTGGAACCGCGCAGGCGGGCGCGGTGAGGCTTGTGTTCAACACTCGGGATCCGTGGGGCCGGAGAGAATCCAACTGTCGCGGCCTCTGCGACCTTCGCGTCTCCTAGCAACGCGGCGGAGCGGCTCTTGTGCCAGGCTCACTCTGGCCCCGCCCCCCGGGGGTTGGGCCTTTGTGCGCATGCGCGAGGGTCGGAGCTGGGTGGTGGGCCCAGTTTGTGAAGCCAGGAGGGAGCCTTGGCGGGAACTTTGCGACGGGTGACACCCGAGCAGAGGTGGAGGGGGAAGTGGCTTATTCGGTGCTTCTTGAATCCCAGACCAAATTCCCTAAGAAAGCGGACTGGAGAACGGAGACTACTAGTGTTTCTAGTTCCTGATAGGAGATAGCCTGTCCATGTAGGAAGTAAATGAACCCATCCACAGTCATAGTGCCTGACAATTAGTAAGTCTAAATATAAATATTTGTACCTAAATATAAATATTTGTAGCTTTAATTATTGTTCTAACATTATCTTCATTATTATATTTAAAATAACTAGCTACTTTGGTGAAAAGTGATCAGATTGAAGATACACATTTTGAATGTAGAGCCATCAGGATTTGCTCATAAATTGGAGAGTGAAAGAGAAAGAGACAGTGATGTACCGGAGCCAATTCATTAGAGCTTGAGAGAATCAACAGCTAAATTTTTAGGAATTTTTTTGAGCCAGTTGTTAAACACAAGCCATATTACAACTTAAATTATACAAACTTTTAATTAAAAGTCATATTAAAACATTATTTTTAAGTAATAAATACTGAAACTAAAATAAAAACTCTACTTACAACTTTCAAATCTATTTCTTCAGCTCAGATCTTTCTCTCTGAACTTTAGACTT